TGTTGTTATGTGCCGTCGAGTCGCTTGCGACTCATAGCGACCCTATGTACAACAGCCCTAAACTCCACTCTGTCCTGTGCCAATATAATGACTTCAATAGAAGGGAACTGAAGCATTTCTTTTCCTTTAATTTACAGAGTTGACTTCAATTAATCATAAAATGAGCACATTTTATAGACATACTGGTAGTTTGTTACATCTCCTTTCCACAAATGACTGACAAAAATATCTTTTGATTGGATTTGGTGACCTTGTGCTGTGGCCTTTATAATTTTTGTCTTTATTTGGTAAAATAGGGTGACAATGACTTTTCATTGCTAGATAGGCAGTTTCTGGAGATAGTGTATACTGGGATGTAGGTATGAATTGTGTTAATAAACACAAGCCTTTTTAACCTAAGGCTGGTTGTTTCATATGCCACTTAACAGCCTCTGAAGTCCTTCCAATCTATCAACAGTAAAGCTGTTTAGGAGAATGGCAATTTATGGTAATAGTAAAAAATAAAAATGAATTTGATGCCAGGCTATACACGTTTTGCAAATGAAAACTTTTGTTCTTAATCACAACATGGTGTTTTCTTTATGAACTTAATTGACTCAGGTTATTTTTAAGCCTAAAATTTAACTAGTGGTGCCGTATTTTTGGATTTCAGTATCATCTATTCATTATCGCTTTGAATGGGGAGAGACTGAATGAAGAGTGTGCAGACGGCTGAACATTTCCCCAAAACTGAACAAGGAGCCTGAGGTCCTTGGGGGTACCCCATATTCCTCAGAAACGGTAAGATGGCCAACTTTAACAGAGTCTGGAGCTTGGTTGAAGTGCAATACATGGTTAAGAATCTGGGTGGCTGTGCACACAGGCCATATATATGTTTAAGACCCTGTCGTTGAACTGTAGAGATCGACGATCTACAACAGAGCAAGATTAAACGTTCACTTCAGTCGTCAAAATCCGTTAATTCCAGGAAACCTTAATTTTCAGCAATACGCCCTCGATTCGAGCCTTCTTTCCCTCTAGCCAACCCATATGCCAGGCCCATAAAATGAATGGGCCAGACCCTCGGAGCGGGTCCAAGTTCCCAGCGAGGCACAGAGCCCCGACCCGCACGCACGCCCAGCCGCGAACCCCAGGCCGCTTCCGGGGAGCCCGCAGCGGCGCGAGGCCCGAGCGCGG